CTGGCCTCAAACTCACAGAGATCCGTCTGCTTCTGCCTCCCGAGTGCTGGGATTAAAGGCGCGCACCACCACCGCCCGGCAGGCATTCTTTCTTAATAGGCTGCTATCATAAAGATGAGAAACCCATCTGGGACAGAAATTGGCATGCTGGGTACTGTAGTATATCACATGGGCCACACAATGAGTCGTCTGGGTCAAACACTTTTTATAGTAAGCTAGGTTGAAGCTGTACTTAGTGGCTGTAATTTGGGTAGTTGTGATTTGGATGGCTTTTAACATCTGTCCTAGGAATGGGATATTAGCAACAGATCCCAGAGGGACCCTTGTGGACAGATGTGGCAGTCATGTACATGAGGATTAAGGTCTCGCTCCGGAGCACCTGCCAGTAGCCTTTTGTAGAAGTAAGGGACTCAATGGATATGGCATCTTGGGAAGTGCGCTCCTAACATGCAGTGCCCCGGAAAGAACAGTACACAGTTAACTCAGGAGAACCAGGATGAGGAAGTGGGATGTGGAGATAGGGAAACGGGTGTAGAAGTAGGTCAGAGCCCCAAGGAGTGATCAAAGGATACTCTCTCCCCGATAGATGAGCAAAGGCTCCTGGAGATGTCTAGATGATGAAGTTACATGTTTTGACGAGAAATTTATGGGGATGTGGTAGTTCTGATGCTTTTAAATTGAAGTCACAGATAACAAAGGAAAGTGAAGTGAGAAGCAGCAAACAGAGTCTTGTAAATGAGCTTCTCTTTATAGGGAGGGAGAAAACAGAAAGATAAATAAATGGTGTGGAGGGGATCTGTTAAGTGGGAGGAGTCTGGGTCTGAGCTAGGAAGCAAAAATGTAGTGTGTGAGTGTCTGAGCTAGGCAGAAGAAATGAAAAAGTGTGGTCCCAGGAGGTGAGGCAGAAGGTTGCAAACTGAAGTCCTGCCTGGGCAGCTTAGTGAGACCTTGTCTCAAAATGAAAAGCAAAAAGAGGACGTGGATTAAATTAAAGCTCAGTGGTAGAGCACTCGCCTGGCATGGATGAGGCCCTGAGTTTGATCCTCAGCATTGGGGGTGGGGAAGAGAGACAGGGGGGAGAGAGAGAGAGAGGGAGGGAGGGAGGGAGGGAGGGAGGGGGAGAGAGAATGAGAGAGAAGATGAATGAATATGCACAAGAGCACTAGCTTTTGGTATTAATAGCAAAAATTGGATGTGGTCAGCTTATGCCAAAAGGAGAATATTTACTTATTTGTGACAAAGTCTGATAGCCCAGGCTGGCCTTGAACTCCTGATACTCCCAAGTGCCTGGATTAGAGTTGTGAGTGACCAGACCCAGTCCAAAGGGAAATCTGTCAGAGGGGCATGGAGATAACTAGCATTCAAAGGCCAAGGGCAAAGCTGAGCTTTCAGACTGCACCGTGATGTACGGAGAAACTGGGATGCCCTTTGCGTCCAGGGCTTTCTCTGGTTCCTTCTCTCCAAGCAGCTCAGCTCCTCCTTCCTGTCCACCATGGGAAAATGATCACCAGCACCTACTCCAGAGTTTATTGCTTAGGAAAGAAGTTGCTGGTGGCCCATCATCCGAGGAAGAAGCCAGCTACTAGAATATCAACTCGTGTTCATCTAGAGAAGGTCTCAGTGTGCCTTGTGTGCCGGTTACAGCCAATCAGATGCAGCCAGAAGCCTGGGTACCATTTTGTTGTGTGTTTTTCTTCAGAGACCCCTGCCTCTGTAATTGTGGGGTATAAATTGTTGGTAAGGGGGAAAGATATTTCCCAAAGAAAGCAAGGAGGCGGACAGTGGGGCAGCCGGCCCAGTAGACGTTAGGACATTAGGGTTATTGCATCAGGGAGTGACTGAGCCAGGGCCAGAACCCACACAGCCTTCCTCAGGGGAACAGTGGTGATTAGTTCATCTGGAAATGATAAAGGAAGGACAAATAGGTACCTCATTCTCATTTGTATTTGGGATATCCAGACTCTAAGACCATTGCAGCCAAAGATGGCCTCCCTCTGTATGAATCCAAACTCTATTAGGTAGATTCCAGGGGTAGTCCAGGGATCTGGATTCTGTACTTCCTCGATACATGCACCTGTCCTCACCTTTTTTTCTGCCCTGCCTTCATAGTTCATCTCTAATCCTTTCTGTGTGGTTGTTAGGCTTGTAGTGATTTGAATGAGAATGACCCTCACGAGATCCCCTGCTGGTAGCACTGTTTGGGGAGGCTCAGGAGGTGTGACCTTGTTGGAGGAAGTCTATCACTGAAGGTGGACTTGAGAATAAGAGTGTGGAAGACAGCAGTCAGAACTGTTCAGACCGTGGAGGCCCAGCTCAATATTAGCAACAAAGCCAAGATCTTTCTGTGTTATTTTGGCAAAGAATGTCACTGATCCTACTAGGATGGTCCATTAAACTCCCCTTAACTGTGTTTAATGGCTTTTCTGGTCCAAAGTTCCAAAGTCTTCCACATCCTTCCAAAAACCAACATGGTCAGGTCTGTCACAGCCCTGGGACCAACTTCTGTTGTACCACTTTTCTCTTGCTCTGGTAAGACACCATGGCCAAGGCAACTGATATTCACGGAAAGGTTTATTTGAGCTATGGTGCAGAGGGGTACGAGTCCATCACTATCATGGTGGGAAAGCAGACAGGCAAGGGGGGCAGGGACAGCTGACAACTGGCAGCTTGAAGTGCAAGCAGGATACAGAGAGGGTGGACTCAGAATGACAGGACTCTGTACACTCTCAAGCTTACCTCTAGTGACACACCTCTTAATCCTCCCCAAACAGTGCCACCAACTCAAGACCAAGTGTATAAACATCTGAGCCTGTGGGGCCCATTCTTCGTCAGACTACCACATTCTACTACCACATATTTAACGCCACATCAAAATATAAGATATATTCAGTCCAACCTCAAAAGTCTCAACGAAGTTTCAAAGTCCAAAGTCTCTCCTGAAACTCAAGGCAATCTCTTAACTGCAACCCCTTATGAAAGCAAATTACATACTTCCAGCATACAGTGGCGCCGAATGTACATTACTGTTCCAGAAGGAAGGGAAGGGGGCATAGTGAGGAAACACTGGATCAAAGCCAGGCTGCTACCCAGCAGGGTAAACTGATCCTGTAGTTGCATGGCTGGTGTCATAGGGCTTAGACGGCTCCGTCCTTCCTGCTTCGCTGCCTGCAGCAGTACCACAGGGTTCTCTTCACAAGGCAGGAGCTCTGGATCATGTTCTTAGAGCACCTGACCGAAGAGAGTGGAGACTGACCTCCTGGTGGCAGGTGTTAGGTGAAATCCCCACCGGGTCTATAGTGGTGACTTTTCTTGTCATTTTGACCAAAATAGCCTCAAAGAATTACTTAGTTTGCCTCTTGCTTTCACGGTTGACAGTGGCTTTTAACTATATGTGGTTGGGCAGAATATCAAAATGAGAGAGTATGTGGTAGAACAGGAAGTTTGTTTGTTTGTTTTGTTAAGACAGGGTCTCACTATGTAGCTCTGGCTGTCCTGGAACTCACTCTGTAGACTAGGTTGGCCTCTAACTCAGAGATTCACCTGCCTCTGCCTCCCAAGGGCTGGGATTAAAAGCGTGAGCTATGTACCTGGCTCGTAGAATACGTTTTTAAGAAGATACTTATTTTTATGTGGAAGTCTGCATACATATATGTTCTTGTATACCATGTAGTGCATGTGCCTGTAGAAGCCAGAAGAAAGTGTAGAATCCCCCTGGGGCTGGGGTTACGGGCGATGTGGGTTTGGGGGTCTGAACTTAGATCCTCTGGAAGAGCAGTAAATGCTTTTAACCACTGAGCCATCTCTGGCCTAGAACAGGTCCTTTGCCTAATGACCTATGGAAGCAGAGAAAAGGGTATTACCAGAAGAGACCAGGGCAAGATACAGCTCCAAGGCCATGCTACCGGGTCCTGCTTCCTGTAGCTAGGCCCCCCCTTTCACTACTTCTGATAACGCCATCACAATATGAATCTATCCAGGGACGAACACTTTATTTCTGTCAGAGTCCTCCTGACCTTCCTATGTCTGCAACTGCATCGCAGACTCACCCAGAGGCAGGCAGGCCTCACTGATCTTTTAGTGGTTTGGGGTTTTGTTTGTTTGTTTGTTTTTGTTTTTGTTTTGTTTTGTTTTTTCAAGACAGGGTTTCTCTCTGTAACAGCTTTGGTGCCTGTCCTGGAACTCACTCTATAGGCCAGGCTGGCCTCGAACTCACAGAGATCCGCCTGCCTCTGCCTCCTGAGTGCTGGGATTAAAGGCATGCGCCACCACCGCCGCCCGACTTTTGCTGTTTCTTAACCTAACCAAGTTAACAGTCAACGTTAGCCATTCTAGAGTCTTATTGAGGAAACGAAGCCCTCTGATTGGCTGTGCCTTGCTCCCTTGCCCATCCCTGGGGTCAGGAAATGTTATTTTTAAAAAGGAAACAGTAAAAGGGGAGTAGACCAAAATCTCCTTTTGTGTCTTTCTCCCAGGTGACCATGGAAACGGGCGGCCTCCCCCTGGAGCTGTGGCGCATGATCCTGGCCTACCTGCACCTGCCGGACCTGGGCCGATGCAGCCTGGTTTGCAGGGCCTGGTATGAGCTGATCCTCAGCCTCGACAGTACCCGCTGGCGGCAGCTGTGCCTGGGCTGCACCGAGTGCCGCCACCCCAACTGGCCCAACCAGCCTGATGTGGAGCCCGAGTCCTGGAGGGAGGCCTTCAAGCAGCACTACCTGGCCTCCAAGACCTGGACCAAGAACGCGCTGGACTTGGAGTCCTCCATCTGCTTCTCTCTGTTCCGCAGGAAGAGGGAGCGCCGTACCTTGAGTGTTGGGCCGGGCCATGAGTTTGACAGCCTGGGCAGTGCCTTGGCCATGGCCAGCCTCTACGATCGGATCGTGCTGTTCCCGGGTGTGTACGAGGAGCAAGGGGAGATCGTCCTGAAGGTGCCAGTGGAGATCGTGGGCCAAGGGAAACTGGGTGACGTGGCCCTGCTGGCCAGCATTGACCAGCACTGCTCAACCACACGCGTGTGCAACCTCGTCTTCATGCCAGCCTGGTTCTCGCCAATCATGTATAAGGTGGGTGCACATCGGGTGCCGTCTAGTCCTGACCCCACAACCTTGGCCTCATTCATTTCCCCTTTTTGGTGAGAGTTGAGAGTTCAGAAGTTAATCCCTATGCACATACTCCCGGGAAGTGAACTAGTCGAGAAGTGGGCACACAGGTCAGCACAGAATTATGATTTGTACCTTATTTCCCTCAAAGCTGCATTGGAATGAGAGGTGGACAAAGGACAAGAATTTTTATTCCTCTTCTATTCCTAACCAGATCAGCTAAAGCACCAGGTAGAGCAAGTGGCAAAATGTGCAGCATGGTGGCAGGACATTGGCTGCTCAGAGCACTGTGTCCAGAGAGGGGGCAGTGTCTCTCGGCACCTGTACCCTCATCCTGTGCGGGAGTCATTGCTTCTCCAGGGCACCTGGAGGGAAAGTCAGGAAATATCACTCCAGCACGGTGTTCGTCTTCTAAACAGAGCACGCGTGGAGGAAGGAATTTGTGGCCCGGCAAAATGGCGTGGAGCCTGTGCATTGGCTAGAACCGTGCCTGTTACAGCCAGTCTCGTCTCTCTGTCTAATGCTCAGCACCTCACTGGCCCTTTGTGACTCTCAGTGTGCACCAGGCTTTACAGCCTTCCCTCACTTTCTCTTCCCACGGCCCTGAGAGGAGGTTGCGTCACCTGGCTTTATAGATGAGGGAAACTGAGGCCCAACAACAGCAGCATAACCCAGGTTTCAGGCTTATGGGCAGAGCTTGGATCAAAGCCTTATTAATAATCCAGACAACCTTCTATATACCCAGATATCTGTGGTGATCAGTAGCTGTGGTTCCCTTGGGCACATGAGGGGGATTAGCAAAAGTCAGAGATGCCAGGATGTTTCCCAGGTGGGTAATTAGTGAGGTTAGAGCTCAAACCCAGGCGCTCTGATTTATCAAATGACATCATGTCAAAGTCTTTAGGAGCCCCAAAGCCTGCTCTTCAGCTCGTGAATGTTTCAGAAGGAATAATGGGTGTCCCTGTGCTGGTCTGCAGACCTGGAAGCAGAGTTTGCTTCTAGAAGCAAGGCTCCATACCCTTCGTGCCTTGGTTCCGAGGGTAAACGCTCCCTGGAGACGCTGCTCCTGCCTCAGAAGCACAGCTCCTCAGGAGACAGACCTGGCCGCAGGCTTCTTTGCAGTTAGCCTTCTGGTTTGGTGCTTCCCATAGGCGAGTGCTAGGTCCACGATTGTCTTTCAGCTAAAAAGGCACAGAGGTCTGAGATGTCCTGGCCTGAAAACTGAAAAGGCCAGGACGATTTCACAGAAGTTTTCAGTGATCTCTTAAGAGAACATCATCATTGACTGCATCTTCAAGAAATTGAGCGGGGGTGGTGGTGTCGCACGCCTTTAATCCCAGCACTCGGGAGGCAGAGGCAGGTGGATCTCTGTGAGTTCGAGGCCAGCCTGGTCTACAAAGCAAGTTCCAGGAAAGGCGCAAAGCTACACAGAGAAACCCTGTCTCGAAAAACAAACAAAAAAAAAAAAAAAGAAAGAAAGAAAGAAAGAAAGAAAGAAAGAAAGAAAGAAAGAAAGAAAGAAAGAAAGAAATTGAGAGGACCAAGGAGGAAAGATAGCTTCACTGGTAGCAGGGAAGTCAGGGAGCCATAAGGAAGCACCTAGAGCCCCTGAGGTCAGAGAAATCACCCTCCTCCAAAAACTATCAAGGCAGGTCACTGATAGAGAATATTGTTAACTGCTCAGGGGGGTAGGTCTGTCTGGGTCATTGATTAGACTCATAGGATGCTCCTTTATTTCATGGTTGAGATGTATCTGGTGGAGTTTATGTGAATCCAGAAAAGGCTATAAAGCAGTTTGACCTCACCAAGCTTACCTGTCATTCGGGCCCAGGGTCCCAACTGTATTAACAGGTTCAGTGCTTTCCCATCCTACCCCTAGACTCCGGAAGACTTTCCTTGTGTCTTTGACCTCAGATCATAGTAGCTAACTGTCACTGAGTGGTTTATAAACTAGCAAGCCCCATGCTACAGACAGGGAAACTGAGGCTTAGAAGGGTGATGCCATTTGTCCTGGGTAACACACTTGGAAGAGGCAGAGCTCTGGTCGGCCACCAGCGCAGCCGCCCAGCCCTGGCAGCCGCCCTTGTCTCTTCTCTTTGAGGATAAGACCTGTCAAGTGCTTTATTCCACCACACACCAGTAGCTGCACAGACTCGACTGTCCCAATGCCTGGGGCTGAGCCAACCCCACCACCTGCCCCAGTCCAGGAAGTCCTCAGTTCCTCTCTGTCACCTCTCCTGTGCCCTTAAGAAGGACAACGGAATTGGAAGGATGCAGTGATGGGCAGTTTCTCTCGTGCCTCTGTGATGGGGACCTACTCCCCAGTTCCTTTGGGTGACAGCTGGCATGCCAGCCTTTTACAGAAGAGTCTCTGCCCTCCTACAAGAGTAGCTTGGGTGACGACCATCCACACAAAGTGTAGGCTTCTTACCATGTCTTCTCCCTCTTGTCCCCAGACCACGTCAGGTCACATCCAGTTTGACAACTGCAACTTTGAGAATGGACACATCCAGGTCCACGGCCCGGGTACCTGCCAAGTGAAATTCTGTACCTTCAAAAACACCCATGTCTTTCTGCACAACGTGCCCTTATGCATGCTGGAAAACTGTGAATTTGTGGGCAGCGAAAACAACTCTGTAACTGTTGAGGGCCACCCCTCGGCAGATAAGAACTGGGCCTACAAGTACCTGCTGGGCCTTATCAAGTCCTCTCCGATCCTGCTCCCCGCAGAAGACCATGAGTTTTTAATGTCCTTGGACCTAGAGAGCCGGGACCAGGCCTGGAGCCCAAGGACCTGTGACATTGTCATCGAGGGCAGCCAGAGCCCCACGAGCCCAGCCTCTACCTCTCCAAAGCCAGGCTCCAAGACTGACTCCCAGGAGGCAGAAGTGGGCAGCGATGGGGAGAGGGTGGCCCAGACTCCAGACAGCAGTGATGGCGGCCTGAGCCCCAGCGGCGAGGACGAGGATGACGAGCAGCTCACGTACAGACTGTCCTACCAGGTGCAGGGCCCACGCCCTGTCCTGGGCGGCTCCTTTCTGGGTCCTCCACTGCCAGGAGCTTCCATTCAGCTGCCCAGCTGTCTAGTGCTGAACTCACTGCATCAGGAGCTCCAGAAGGACAAGGAAGCCATGGCGTTGGCCACCTCTGTGCAGGGATGCCTCATCCGCAAGTGCCTCTTCCGAGACGGCAAGGGTGGCGTCTTTGTCTGCTCTTACGGCCGAGCCAAGATGGAAGGAAATATCTTTCGGAACCTAACGTATGCAGTGAGGTGCATACACAATAGCAAGGTACCTCCTAAGGCCCGACACTGTAGCCGGAGGCCTCGCTGGATGATCACTGCCGAGAGCATGAGCCGGGCTTTGTGAGAGGGCTCCTGTGGCTGGGTGGGAAGGGCGTGATGAGATATTGGCATGTTTCATGATCTTTCAAATTTATTAGATACACTTGACTGCCTGTCCGTCATCTGACTTGGATAAGACAAACTTCTCATTTCCCAGATAAGAAAACAGGCCCAGAGAGGGAAAGAGTCTTTTTTTTGGGGGGGGGAGGGGAGGGTTCAAGGCAGGGTTTCTCTGTGTAGCTTTGGAGCCTCTCCTGGAACTCACTCTGTAGCCCAGGCTGGCCTTGAACTCACAGAGATCCACCTGCCTCTGCTTCCCGTGCTGGGATTAAAGGGGTGCGCCACCACCGCCCAGTGGGAAGGAGTCTTACTCGGGGTCATTGAGCATGTTTAAGTCGGAGCCCAGGTCTTGCACCTCCACTGACTGTACCTTCTGCTTCTCAGACACGTTACCTAGGTGTTTGTAGAACACATAAGTTTGTTGGTTGGTTTTTTGTTCTCCCCCGACGGGTCAGAGAAGATTTAGAGAGACATGACCAGTATGTCATTTTAGAATCCAGTGGGCTAGTTGAAAAGGGCTGTTCTGTAGGAGCAGGTGTCTGAGCTGAGCAGGATGAACGGAGGAGAGCGTGCAGAGCAAGCGGAGGAGCATATGTCATGAGGAAAGCGGGAACATTCTAGAAGCAAGAACATCTGTTCTGGGCCTGTTTGTGGGGTTGATTCACCCATGCAGCTGGAGCACGTTGAGAGGCCGTGGGGCTGGAGAGATGGTTCAGTGGTTAAGAGCACTTGGTGTTCCTCCAGAGGACCCAGGTTTGGTTCCCAGCACCCACGTGGGGGCTCACAGCCATCTGTAACTCCAGTTCCGGGGGCCCCAAAGCCCTCTTCTGAACCCCAAGGGTGCCAGGCAAGCACATACATATACACAGGGAACATACTCACACACATAAAATAATAGATCCTCTAAAAAATTAAGACAGAGCTGTAGAGAGCAAGCAGGAGCCATCTTGCCCTGAGTCTAAAAGGGTGGACATCACACTCAGTGCAGCCCGCCAGCCACTGATGAGATGACTCTCTTGAGGCGAAGTCCCATTGAGTGCTGTAGAACGACCTCCATGTCCATTAATGGTTGGTCCGCAGAGGGTTTTGAAGGGTGAGCAGGCCATGAGAAGGAAGCAGGGCTATGCACCTGGGGGGGGGGGTCTCGGCTCTCCACCATGTCACTGTGAATTACCTGCACCACCACCACTACTACAACTACTTCTTCAATTTATTTGACTTTATTTTATGTGCATTGGTGTGAGAATAACAGATTTCCTAGAACTGGAGTTAGTTACAGACAGTTGTGAGCTGCCATGTGGGTGCTGGGAATTGAACCTGGGTCCTCTGGAAGAGCAGCCAGTGCTCTTAACCACTGAGCCATCTCTCCAGCCCTACCTGCACTTCTACACTGTGGACAAGAGTGTTCCAGTGTGGCTTCTCTCTGAGGTCTGATGGCCTGGTGCCCTAACATAAGCAGAGGTGCTCAGTAAACCCATAAGCATTGTCCAGAGTCCAGTGTGGGGCTTAAAGGCATCTAGAATGGTTAATTACAATTGTATTTTAACTGTATATTACCAGGCCCACTTCTAAGGGAGGTGTTAGGTGGTGTTACCATGAAAACACAGGACTGTACTATATATTATAAGCAGGAAATAGATTTTTTTTTCCTAAAGGAAGAGGGCCTAGCATGGTGTGCATATCTGGAATCCCAGTACATGAGAGGCTGAGGCAGGAGGTTCACCACAAAGCCAAGGCCAGCCTGGGTTACATAGTGAGACCTCGTCTCCAAAGGAAACAGACGTGGAAGGAGGCTAGTTTACTTCCACTGGTGCCATGATGAAAGGAACCGGTTTGAGCCCTCAGGAGGACTTTTCTCTTCACATAGTTATGATGGCATGGCTGTTGAGCAGGATTCTGGCTCTGCTGCCCATGCTTCCTTAAGGTATGGTGAAGATGATTAGCAAGGTTACATATGGAAAGTACAAGGTTGGTCACGGTGGTGCATGCCTGTAAGTCCAGCACTCAGGAGGTTAAAGCAGGAAGATCACAGATGCGAGGCCAGTCTCCACTGTGTATCTAGGCCCTAACCTCCAGAGAGAGGGAGAGGGAGAGGGAGGGAGGGAGGGAGAGAGAAGGAAAAGAGAGAGAGAGAGAGAGAGAGAGAGAGAGAGAGAGAGAGAGAGAGAGAGAGAGAAGGAGGGAAGAGGCAGGGAAGGGAAGCTTAGCAGTGCGCCTGGTCTCAGTAAGCCTTTTTCAAGGTGATAGCAGTCTAGTTGAGAGGTTCTCTGATAGATGTGCCAGGGGTGTGGTACAGGAACCAGAAGTGAGGGCGCCTGACCCACCCTCAAGGAGCCGGGACGGGTCTCCTAAAGTAATGCCATTAGCTCAAACTGCAGGAAGCCTAGGAGTCGGCAGGTAAGGACTTGCAGTACAAGAGGTGAGTGGAAGAGCCTGGAGTCGGAGGCCGCAGCACCCACAGGGAGTTGTGAGTGCCTCGTGAGCTGTGGCAGTGGGGGAGGTCACAGGAGGGGTCCAGGGAGGGAGTCTGGTGGCGATGCAGAGGTTGGAATTCGGGAGGGTGGCTGAGAACCACGGGGAGGGCTTGTGGTCAGATCTGCCTCAGAAAACTCTGTGGGGCTCCTAAAGATGGAAGGGAGGGGAACAGGGCTGGAGGTCTGGAGGTAACATGGTCCAGGGACGGACAGGAGAGTGCAGCAACCTGGGAAAGGAGGGCCAGGGGAAGGATGACTGAGAATTGAAGCCTAGATTTCTGGCCTGAGTGCGTGGGGCAGTGGTGGAAACGTGGAGGGTAGGGTGTGAGGAGAGACTAGCCTCGCTCTGGGCACACGGAGTTGGGACAGGTGACATCTGGCAGAGGTGCCAGAGGTCTTCTCAGCCCGGAATGTGGAGAGGTGGGTGCTGATGTGCCGGGAGCACCCGGGAGCTGTCAGTGTGCAGGCCGTGGTTGGGAGCACAAGGACAGATGAGAACTTACGCAGCCTGAGCTGTAGCTGTCTTGAGTGGTTGCCCCAGGAGACATTTGGCGGGAGTTATGTGGCCAGAAATTCCTGGTCAGTTTCTAGCAAGGAATCTAGAAACTGCAGATTTCCAGGGATTTTGACTAAAAAGGGAAAAAAAGTCAACATGTTTGGAAGTCACCATTATGCATGCTGAGTGGCATAAACACAAGCCAGGGGCCGTAGGTGGGAGTGTGGGGCTTGCTGGGCAAGTTACTGAGTTGGGGCCAAGGTCTTGACCCATGGCCAGAGGGCTACCACTTCCCTGGTCCTAAAATATCCCAGCAGGGTGACAGCTGGCAGAAGCAGCCTGGTTGCTTGGGGCTCCCAGAAGCCCTGTGTCTTTGTGTAAGTTCTAATTCCTATTGGAAGTCAGGCATCTTGGGAAAGACACGAGAGACGGAGGTACCTAGTACTGTGTTTGGAAATGGGCATGCCTTGGGGTCTTCCTGGGGTTTGGCTTGGCAAGAATGGAGCTGGCTTGGACGGCGTTGTGATCCGGCCTCAGTTTTCTTCTTTTTTGCTGCCTTCTGCTTTTCTCTGGATCTTTCCTTTGCATCTGCCCCCCCCATTCCCCCACCCCTGCCCTGCTGTGCTTCATGACTGGTGCTTGTCAGCCTGCACAGGGGAGCCTGGCAGCGACAGAGTTGTCCGGTGTTGTTTCATCCTTGGTCTGGGGAGGTAGTATGTCCTTGGGTCTTGGGAGAGACCCTGTCAGTGACCCTTTCTCATCCCTAGCACTAGGGACTTTCCTAGCGATCTGGGACCAAGCTGACTTTACTCCCATAGTCCACAAGTCACAGGCAGGACCTGAGTCTTGGGCCACCTGTCATCAAAATATCCCCGGAGGCATCTGTTAAAGTGTCCAGGTTCTTGGGTCCCACAACAGAGAATGGGACCAGGGACACGTGGTCGGAAATAAAAAGTGTGTGCTCCAGAAGTGCTGGGCAGTGACCACGTGAGCCCGTACAGGCCATTTGCCTAGCACTCTCTCCCCCATATCTGTGGGGGGGGCTTTTCTTGAATGTGGTCTCTTGTGTGAAGCCCGGGTGGGAAAGGGTCGCCAGTCTCTTTCTGTCACCTGGCTGTCACACCCGGGGTAAAGTTGGCTTTTGTTTTTTCCATTCTCCTCTTTCCTAAGGGGCCTGGGGTGTGTTGCCTTTACCCCACTACTTATGGAAAGTTAGAGATGGGTCCAGGACAGGTGTGCTGACTAGTTTTCTGTCAGCATAAGCTAGAGTCATCAGAGAGAAGGGAACCTCCAGTGAGAAGACGCCATTGTATGACTGGGCTATAAGCAAACCTGTAGGGTATTTTCTTCATTAGTGATGGATGGGGGAGGGCCCAGCCCATTGTGGGTGGTGCCATCCCTGGGCTGGTGGTCCTGGGTTCTATAGTAGGAAAGCAGGTTGAGCAAGCCGTGAGGAGCAAGCCAGTAAGCAGCACCCCTCCATGGTCTCTGCATCAGCTCCTGTCTCCAGGTTCCTGCCCTGTTTGAGTTCCCGTCCTGACTTCCTTTGATGATGAACTGTGATGTAGAAGTGTAAGTCAAAGAAACCCTTTCCTCCCCAACTTGCTTTTGGTCACAGTGTTTCATCACAGCAATAGGAACCCTAACTGAAAACAGGGGGTGTGGTACCTTACTCAGTGTCTGCCCTGCTTGCCCCCAAGCCTGTCCTGTCCTATTATACTTTGGTAAAGTTTTTGTGATTGAGACACAGTCTCACTGTGTAACCACAACTGGCCTCCAGTTCACAGAGGTCCTCCTGCCTCTGCCTCCCAAGTGCTGGGATTACAGGGGTGTTCATTCCTCCACACCCATCTCTGCTAGAATTTTACTATAATGAAATAGTTTGTTTATTAGTAGAATAATTTATCTTAATATAAAAAATTTAAAACAATATGAATATGTTTATACTTATTACATACAAGAAATTAGAACAGGAAACACATTTTTTTTATGTAGGAGCTACACTGTGCTACCTTGTTTAAAGAGACTTATCAACACACGAATCTCTGACACTCTGGTTTGGTGTAGGAGGTCTTTCTGTCGGGCCATCAGCTCCCCAGTAATGACACAGAGACTTATTAATTATGAGAGCTTGGCCTTCAGCATAGGCTTGTTCCCAACTAGCTCTTATAACTTGGCCAGTTTTTATTCATCTACGTTCTACCTCGTGTCTTTTTACCTCTCTTTCATCTTCTATGTCTGACTTCCTCCGTGTCTTGCTGGCATCTCCCTCACATGCCCAGATTCAGCCTGAGTTCCTCTCTCTCTGCCCGGAAGTCCCACCTAACCTCTCCTGCCTAGCTATTGGCCATTCAGCTCTTTATCAAACCAATCAGGTGCCTTGGGCAGAGACACATCTTTACAGTGTACAAAAAGATTATCCTGCAACAGTTTGGTGTATCAGTAGTTTTTGCATACCAGTGACCACACCAAGAAAGATTCATGGTTAAAAAGAACAGGCATTTTTCTTATAAACATGAATTTGTGTGCGTGCACACGTGTGTGCATGTGTGTAAGTGTGCAGGTGTGGATTGAAGTCAGGTCCTTTCATCCATGCAGCTAGCGCTTGGCTGACTAAGCCATTTCCCATCACTTAACTAAATTTTTTTCGTTTTAAATATCTTTCCTTAACTACATTTTGTTTTCTGGTTTTCTTTTGTTTGAGACAGAGTCTCACTACATAGCCCAGGCTGACCCCTAGTCTACCACCTTCCTTCCCTGTCTCCCCAGCGCTTTAACCCCCAGGGATTAAAGGCATACAACACCATACTCAGCTTTAACTAAATAATATTTTTAAAATTAAGAATTGGTGCCGGTTGTGGTGGTGCGCACCGGTAGGATTTGCTGAAGGAGGCAGAGGCAGGAGGATCTTGAGTTCGAGGCCAGCCTGGACTACACATTTTAGCTGGGCAGTGGTGGCGCACGCCTTTAATCCCAGCACTCGGGAGGCAGAGGCAGGCGGATCTCTGTGAGTTCGAGGCCAGCCTGGGCTACCAAGTGAGTTCCAGGAAAGGCGCAAAGCTACACAGAGAAACCCTGTCTCGAAAAACCAAAAAAAAAAAAAAAAAAAAATAAGAATTGGCCATGGGCCAGAAGTGGTGGCACATGGCTGTAATTCCTGGCACCCAAGAGGCAGGAAGGCCCGTGAGTTCCAGATGAAGCTGGGCCTCAAAGCACCGTGGGCTGGGCTGTATCTCAGTGACAGAGTACTTGCCTAGCAGGTGTGAGGTCCTGAGTTCGAGCCCTGACACCGCAAGGAAGAAGACAGGGTCTTGTCAGGTAGAATGCGTTGGCACCGTACTTAGCACTGGCTGGGCAGGGGGGTTTGATGAAGGTTCGGTGGGAGGGACAGATCTGGGGCTGATTGAATTAAAAATTGCTATGGGCTAGGGATGTGATTCAGTTGGTAGAGCTCTTGCCTGGTATGTGTGAAGTACCAGGTTCAATGTCTAGCACTACATAAAATAGTGTGTGGTAGTGCAGCCCTGTGATTCCAGAACCCGTGGCTCCCTGGAGGTCACTGTTGGCTACAGAGTGAGTGTGAGGTCAGCCTGAGCTACTGGACACTTTTTAGAATACAAGATCAAGAGCATGAAGTTTGAAGATGAATGAAAATAAATAAAGGAAGGAAGGAAGGGAGGGAGGACATGGCTGCTCCTAGGTGTGGTGGAGGAGCAAGTTTATTGTAGATAAAAGGGAGAGCATAGCCAGAGGCAGAGACATCTGGGAGAGTCCAGAGTGGACATGACCCTGAGTTGGGCCCTGCGTGGAGAAAGGGGAGAGCCAGGAGGGTGAAGGGGAGACAGGAAGGGAGAAAGGCTGGGTAGGTAAACTGTCTGGATTATATAGGGAAGGGCAGCTGGGGGAAAGGCAGCCTCTGGGCTGGAGAAGTTTAGGGTAGAGGGTGGGTGTGCCAGCCAGAAGGACCCTGTAACAGGGAGGGACTGAGGGATGCTGGGAGAACCTGGCGGCCAGGTCCACTGATAGGTTAAATGGGCACCTCAGTTAGCCCATTGTCCTGGGTTTGAGACCTAACAATGACAGGGAGATTGTGTCCTCTGACACAGGAGTGGGAACTCTTACCAACTGTGAACTGCTGGGACTGTGTGGGAAGGAAAAGACGTGCATGCTCTTCTTGTAGGGTTTGTTATTACTACACAGTGTGTGTGTGTGTGTGTGTGTGTGTGTGTGTGTGTGTGTGTGTGTGTGTGTGTGCGCGCACATACCACAGCACGGGTATGGAGGTCAGAGGGCAACTCTGGGGAGTTGGTTCTCCCCTCACACTCTCCTGGGAATTGAACTCAGGTTGTCAGGCTTGTCAGCAAGTGCATTTACCCCCTAACCCACCGTCCCCGGTAGTTTTTGACCATCCTTTGACTTTGTCTTTCCTCTGTCCCGCTTAGATTGTCATGCTCAGGAATGACATCTACCGCTGCCGGGCGTCAGGCATCTTCCTGCGATTGGAGGGTGGAGGCCTGATCGCCGGCAACAACATCTACCACAACGCAGAGGCTGGCGTGGACATTCGCAAGAAATCCAACCCACTCATCCTGGTACTTTTCTCCATCCTTCGGCCGTTCAGCCTGGCTCTCGATTTTTAGAAGCCTTGTCTGAGGATGTTTAAGTATTTCAGATTGGTTCCTGCCCATTTTTGTGTGTCCTCGTCTCGTGACTCTAGGTGTATTAGTGGTGACTTTGGAGAAGTCACCTCCTGAAATCGTCCAGGTTTCAGTAGGTTTACTGGACAGCGAGTCTAGTCCAGTTGGAGAGTCCCAGCTTCCATGAGAGGCCAAGCCTTAAGAGAATAGGTACAGAGTGATGGAGGATGATGCTCAACATCAGCCTCTGGCCTCCATACACACGCACACATTTATACATGTGCACATACACAAGCACACGTATATCACGTACACAAAATCCTTGCATATATGACCAGTATTTGAGAGGCTGGTTCCTCCTCTATTCTGGCTTTTCCAGAGATTTCCAGAAATGGGAATGTTGAGATTAGAAAGGTGGTAGGCATCCTGAAATGGATGCTCATTTATATACCAGATGCTTCTAAAGCTGTAGATATTAGTCATCCCATGAAGGAGAATGGGTTTCTAGGTGGAGAGGTGGGGTGCAGAGGGGTGAAGGACCTTGTTGGCTTCTAAGGGGACTATGATTTGAGTTCAGGCAATCTAACTCAGGATGGATGTGCTTAGCTCATTCTAACCAACCTGGCCCTGAGAAGAGAGTTCATAATGCACTTAAAAAGACACACCCAGCCAGTGACTTCTGCCCATCCCTTCCCCTCACGGGCCAATGCTGTGCAGCTGGGTGATCCACTGCCTCCGCATAGGACGTTCCTGACACTGTTACTGGAAAGATGCCAGGAGTCTGCTGGCAGTGAGGCCGGCTGCTTCAGCAGGCAGAGCGGGCGGGGCCCTGGCTTAGTGCAGTGAGGCAGGGAAGTCCTGTCGCATATACCTACCTCTCCAAGATTTTCAGTCTTTGGAAGGGCCCCTCGGGCAGTGGCTGCCTGTGAGCTAGCCAGCGCCGTCAGAGATCTCAAAAGAGAGCAAGTTAGGAGAGCTTGTAGCCCTGTAACCTGCTGTGGTGGTTACCTCTTAGTGTACAAAGTCAAAACAAAGACAGCCAGGGCCCCTGGGTAGAGAAAGGCTTCGCTGAGCAGCTGGGGAGTGAGTGTGAGGTGTTCGAGGATGACTTCCTCCCTGTACAAGGAAGCATGGGGACTTTAATCCAGGAACTTTGTACATATTCATGTAGAAAACACTTTAGGGGTAGGCACATTTCCAGGCATGCTCACTTAAGGATGCCTTTTAGTTTAAGGTCATAGTTTAAGAAGAGAAGGTGGTGAGCACACTTTAGACATGCTTAGCTCAAGGTCATGGAGCACATGCTCAAAAGGTTAAAATGATGGACAGAAACACCTGGACATGCTTTGATTTTGTCATAGTCTTATTGAAGATAAAGGAAAGAGTATTTTGATGGTGCATTAATGTAGGAATTTTCCTACTTTGATTAATGGCTAAAAACAAGATGTGTTTTAAGGCTCTGTGACATTGTTTTGTTTGTTTGGTTTGGGTTTGAGTTAATTTTGGTTTTTTGTTTTGTTTTGTTTTTAATAGGGGCTTGTTATATAGCTCTAGGTAGCCTTGGACCTGGAATCCTCCTGCCTCAGTGCTGGGATTACTGCTCTGCCCAAGCTGGGCAACCTGGATTATTTGGAAGATCTTGTAATCTCAGCACTGGGTAGACAGAAATAGGCAGAGCCCTGGGGCTCACTAGCCAGACAGCCTAGCCTACTTGGAGAGTTTCAGTCCAATGAGAGTCCCTGTATCAAAAAATAGGGTGGGTAGCTACTGATGCATGACGCCCAAGGTCGACCCCTAGCATCTATACTCATTCACACACCCGTACATATAGACACATACACATGCACACACATATACTTCTACACACATAAGCAATTAGAATGAGAAAATTTTACCAAAATTTTTGTGATCTCAAATTATGAAGTCTCTACCCTAAGAGACAGCAAAACTAGGTTTCAGATCAGCTCTCTCATAGACATTTTTTCCAGACTCATTCCTGTTCCCTCTTTGTACAGAGAAGAGTCAGAAGTGAGTTTCCTCAGCATCCTGCACTGATAGACCTCCTCTGGTCTTTCTCCATGAGGCAGGTAGCCCCTCAGTCCTGCATCCTTTCACAGGCCTCCTTTGAAAAAGGACCAGAAGCCAAGTGGTTCTTACCCTCTCTGTGGGGGTAGCCTCCATGGGTCTGTCACTGGCCCACATTCTCTTGTACTGAACTGATGCCTTTCCCTGAGGGGTGGGCACATGGGTCCAGGTTGGTGTGGCCTGGCTGGATGATTTTGAATTGGGGGTGGGGGACTCTGGAGAGGCTCAGACACTTTCCATAGCCTCCTGCCTTGGGAAAAAGCACAGAACGCCTCAACGGCAAAGGCCACATAACCATATTCCAAGGCTACAGGGAGGACCCCTTCATCTTCACATCCTACTGTTTGCCTGCACACACCTGTGCAAGGAAGGCAGCTACAGAGCTCAGTCCCTTTGCTGTGTGCTAGGGAACTTGGGATGGTGTTCTCGCCATGGTCGCGTCCATCTCGGTGCAGCTGTGAGGCGGGGCACAAGTACTCTGCACTCTGACATCTGTCCACCACATCTCACTTTCACTTCCAGTGTAACCAGATCCACCACGGTCTTCGATCCGGCATTGTTGTCCTTGGCAATGGGAAAGGCGTCATCAGGAACAACCAAATCTTCTCAAATAAGGAGGCTGGCATTTATATCCTGTACCACGGAAATCCAATTGTGAGGTAGGCGCTGCTCCGCCCGGACTATCTGGCTCTTCCACGGCCCCTCACTCCCCTTCTCCATGTCTTTCTTCCACTTGAAAGCCTGTTTGTTTACTACCGCTGTGCTGCGGAAAGGAATCTTCAGCCGTAATCCCACCCCAGACCACAGCTGCCCCGCTGCTCCCAGCTTCCCCTCCAGCTCGCTGTGAGCAGGCATTCTGGTTGGCTGGCAGACACTACTGTGCACTTCTAACAGACACAGCGAAAGCAAACCCGTGCCAGCTGCTCCCCGGGAGCAGACTCTGTCTGGAGTGAGGAAAGGCACTTGCCAGCAAGCCTGGCAGGTTGAGTGTGACCCTGGGGACTCACAGAGGAGAGAGAACCAACTATTGCAGGTTGTTCTCTGACCTCTGTAGATGTGCTGTTGTATACTTGCCCAGACACACAGACACTGAATGAATGACTGGATGAGTTGATGGATGGATGAATATATAAAAGACGTCGACGACCCTGGCTGTGGGAGTCCAACTTCCACCTTTTGAAGGGTTCTTGGGTGAGGAGAGAGGAATGAGGAAATATTAGGTAGAAAGATAGAGATGTTAAGAAAGATAGAGACACAGGATAGGTTTGGGAGGGCCCTGGGTCAATACCCAGCCACCCAGAGCTTTATTCAAAAGGGCTTTTTATAATAATCGAAAGGGAGAGGCAAAAGACCTCCCCCTTGCAAGATCAAAGCACACCGTACAGCCAAATGCAGACCCTTCCAAACACCTGGTAACCATGCCCCTGGCCAAATCATCCCATTATGCAGCCCTACTGGGTAAAGCAAGCTCAGATTCTCTGACCCTGAGTACTTTGGGCCTCCCCATGAATGCAGGCTATGATCTTTGTGTGCTGTAGGTCATCGGTGGGAAGGGAGGGGGCAGTAGTGGGCGTGTCCACCATCCTAGCAGTAGTTGTGGGGCAGACTGTGATGGACGCCATGGGTGCTGTCAGGAGGAAAGAAGCATTCTGACCAAGAGCATGAAGGAAAGACTTTCACTGGAAGTGCCATTCGAGGTGATTTCAATGGCTGCGGAGAGCGCATGGAAGAGAACTTGCCCAGCATGCACTAGGCCCTGGAAGGTTCAGTCTTCCACACTAAAACAGGAGGAGGAAGAGGAAATGGCTGGGTTTTTAAATATGGGTAGGACTTGAGCTCTCTCGGAGCTGTAGCGGCCAGGCCTAGGAACAAGAACAGCAGGAGGAGAGGTGACCAAGCAGCCAGGGAGGGGCCCTCCGCAAGGGCAGCAAGTGCTCAGCCTTCTCTCCTGTGCCAATCAGTGTTTTAAAATGGAGCCCATCCCAGTGAATCAGTGCCCGGTGGCTCTGTAGTGCGGCCTTCTGTACCCACAGGTATGCCTCTGCCTCTGCCATGCAGCGTAAGAGTGGAAAGCAATGGTGGAAGGTCTTGTACTGATGTGGACAGGCCGCGGCAGCCAGCCTGAGGAGGGTGGGCTGAGATCCTGAGCAGAAGCCTCGGTTATGTTGGAGCGTTAGGAAAGCTGGCTTCGGTGTGCGGCAGATACGCTCTGCGATGCTTTTCCCCGGCACTTGTCCATCCGAGTCTGTCTAAACCTTGTTGGGTGGCACTTAGCGATGTCACTTGGGGAAGTTCCAGGTCACAGCCCTATCATTGTTCTCCATGTTTTATCCAGTCCTCCCACTTCTGGGCAGGGAGTATCCATTGCTGACGACAGCTTACATAAGCCTAGCGTGTGGACAATGTGCACCTTGCTTGTGCTGGGAAACCATGAGAGAGTTTCAAATGAAGGCTCCCAAGTCAGTGTTACTGTTTTTTAAAACACAGTCATCCCGAGAGGATGGGCTGTGCTTTTAATTCCTCCACATTTCTCTGTTTTAGGAGGTGGGTACAGAGGAGGGGAGGAGAGGAGGAGAGGGGGCGCAGCAGAGTCCCCAATCCCCAGCTGGGGCGCCACAGCACTGAGAGCTGTAGAGCGCTGATGAGTCTAAGAAAGCTTGATGAACTCCTACAGCATCCTAGGAGTTCTTCACGCTGCTAAGACTTGCCCTGGGATTCGTGCACCGTGGTGACATCTGTGTTAATGGTGTGTGTTGACTGATGCAGTACAGAGAAACCACAGAGAGTTGGATATGATTGTCCTTATATCCAGAGTTGTGAGTTCAGTGTTGGGTCGAGCTGTCCCAGGGCAGATCAGGATGGGATTTCAGAAGGCGGCTGTTTCCTGTGATGTGAGCTTGGGCCATTAGGAAGCCTACTAAGGAAGGAAATGGGGCAGGTGAGGGGTCTGTAGGTAAAAGCACTTACTATGTAAGCCTGATGACCAGAGCTTGATCCCTGCAACACGTAAGTTGTGCTCTGACCTCCACATGTGTGCTGTGGCACTTGTGCACCTGCGCATGTGCACACACACACACACACACACACACACATGCACACACACACACACACGCACACACGCACGCGAACAAGTAACATGTTGAAAGTGTTTTAAAGGAAGGCACCTTGAAGTATGACCTAGGTGCCTTGGTCTCTCACCTTTCCCTGTCTTCTGTTTCAGCGGAAACCACATCTTCAAGGGCCGTGCAGCCGGCATAGCCGTGAATGAGGACGGCAAGGGCCTCATCACAGGTACGGGGTAGGAACTCCTGGAGCCAGGGCCAGCCACTGCAGGGGCAGCCAAGCCACCGGCCCCCGGCGTCACCCCCACCAGCTCAGGCCCTTATGCCACTCCTTCCTTTGCTTACCCCAGACCTCCTTCTGTGATGAGCCGGTGGGCATTCAGGGGTGCCAGTCCTATGGGGGTCATGCTTTTCATAGGAGGGCCCAGCGCAGCATAGGGGGAGTACCACCTCTGCCAGCTGCTGGCCAGCCAGCCCACGCCTCCAGCTGCACCAGTTAAACAGGTGTCTGAGATTTCCATACTTCAGTGTGAGCTTCTGCTTGCTCTGCGAGTCTGTCTGCCCAGTTCTTATGTGTCTGTGATGTCTCAACTCATGCCCTTCCTGTGGGGAAGCCTGCCCTAGCTCCCCTCATCCATGGAGAATGCCCCTGTGCCCAGGACACCTCCTCTGTTGAACATTTTACAGAATTTCTTAGTGCTTTGTTTTGTCTGTCTCCTCTGGTGCCAGGCAAGGATCACATCTGCCTGCTAGATCATCAGAGCCTGGCGGTTTCTTTTCTTAGTTTTTTGAGACAGGGTTTCTCTGTGTAGCCTTGGCTGTCCTGGAACTTGCTATGTAGACCTCCTGGAACTTGCTTTGTAGACCAGGCTGGCCTCAAACTCGGAGATCTGCCTGCCTCTGGGATTAGAGGCGTGCACCACCACCTCCCAGCATCGAGTCTGGGATCTTGATTGCTTGTAACCATCATTTATAGTTACATCTATAACTCAGTTGTAGACCACGTGCCTAGTGTATGTGTGGCCCTAGATTAGATCCCAGCATTGAGAAAAAGGAAAAAACAACAAACAAACAAAACCACTTGTTGAGCACCAACTGTGTGCAGCCCTTGCTTCAGGAGCTGGACATGGGGTGAAAAAGGAAACAGACACCAACTCTGCTTTCAGTTAGAAAGAAACCATGTAAATAAGTAAAAGCGTATGTAGATAAAACCGCCCCTCTGAGGGTGATGCCGTCATTTGCATAAGGACTGTGTGGGCACTTGAAGCCGTCTGATTGTCATAGACCTCAAGGATGACACATGCTTCAGAACCCGAGCAATGGGAGGAGTCCGGCTCTGTGTGCAGGGCCACCTGTGGAAACAGACTCACGCCTAAGCAGGACTGCTTATAGGATGGGGTGTATGAGCAGGAGGTGAAAGGTTGAGGTAGGGCTGCAGAGGCAGAACGAGCCCACCACACGGGGTCTATAAGTCCTCAGCCGGGTGGTGGTGGCGGTGGCGGCAGCACACATCTTCAATCCCAGCACTGGGAGGCAGAGGCAGGCGGATCTCTGTGAGTTCCAGACCAGCCTGGTCTACAGAGTGAGTTCCAGAACAGCCAGGACTGGTACACAGAGAAACCCTGTCTCGAAACCCTACCGGAAAAAGCAAGTGTCCCAGTCCCTGGAGCCAAGTCTACCTTGTCACTGTGCTGAGGTAGCGGTGTCCAGGACCACCCTTCTGATGTAAGACTCTTCTACGTCCTAGGAGAAGAGGCAGCTCCCAGGGATGGGGCAGGGCAGTGAGGTCAGAGTGCAGGCCTGGGCTGAGGACACGCAGTCTCAAGGCTGCTGGGCAGAGTGGGTATGGAGACACAGGAGTGTACAAGACAAACGGAGACGTGGTCCTTGGGACAACGGATGAGTGCCTGAAGCAGCCAGTGAGTCAGCGTCAGCGTCCTGATGGCTGGCAGCCTAGGTCGGGGTGTCCTGCTCGGGGTGAAGGTTGGGAGTGCTTTCTTTCAGCTGTCCTAGTCACCATGGCCTGGGCCGGAGGCGGCTGTTGGGTACTGACCTTTCCACGTCTCCCCCTAGAAAATGTCATCCGTGAGAATCAATGGGGAGGGGTGGACATCCGCCGTGGCGGCGTCCCTGTCCTCAGGAGCAACCTCATCTGCTTTGGCTACTCGGACGGTGTGGTCGTGGGCGACGAAGGCAGAGGACTGATAGAGGGGAACACCATCTATGGTGAGGAGCATGTCCCCGGACAGTGGTCCACAGCAGCCCACCTGGGAGGCAGAAAGCCCAGCTTTCAGCGCCAGCCCGGGGGTTCTGAGAAGGCAGTCAGTTCCTCCAGGCCTCAAAGACATCCTGTGTAGAACAGACATGGTCTCGGGCCTCTTAGCAGGGGGGCTCCTCTGACACCTCCTGACCCACCTTGAGCCCAGAGGTCAGCAGGCAGTGCTCCGTGTGAGATAGTAAAAGGCAGGGTGTTCTCTGCTACAGTGGCCCTTGTGAGCTCCAGTTCACAGGCACCTAACTCCTCCTGTCCCATCAGTGCAAACAGTGGAAGCTTTAACAGAAAAGCAGGGTTATTACAGAAAATACTCTTCTCACCATGTGACTGGAAGCAAAGTCTTAACTTTTCGGGACTGTATCTAGTAATGTCTGTAGCTAGTGTTCTTCAAGCCTAACAGTGTGCATTGTCACATTTAATCTTCAAGACTACCTTGTAGAGGTACAGTTATCAACCCCAACTTAAAGATGCGGAGGCACATGAGCCAGTAACTCACTCGGTCCCACCTAGGGAGTGGTAGGACGGAGTCACACTGACCCTGTCCCTCCTAGGGTGTGGTAGGACAGGGTCACACTGAGCCTGATCCTCCTAGGGAGTGGTAGGACAGGTTCACACTGAGCCTGTCCCTCCTAGGGAGTGGTAGGACAGGGTCACACTGAGCCTGCTCCTCCTAGGGAGTGGTAGGACAGGGTCACACTGAGCCTGCTCCTCCTAGGGAGTGGTAGGACGGGGTTCACACTGAGCCTGCTCCTCCTAGGGAGTGGTAAGACGGGGGTCACACTGAGCCTGTCCCTCCTAGGGAGTGGTAGGACGGGGGTCACACTGAGCCTGTCCATCCTAGGGAGTGGTAGAACGGGGTCACACTGAGCCCACTCCTCCTAGGGAGTGGTAGGACGGGTTCACACTGAGCCCGCTCCTCCTAGGGAGTGGTAGGATGGGGGTCACACTGACCCTGCTCCTCCTAGGGTGTGGTAGGACGGGTTCACACTGAGCCCACTCCCATGCAGAAGCACTGGTGCCCCCTGTGCATTGCCCCGTGGAGCTGAGCAGTGGTCAGAGCACTTCATACCCTGAGGAATGGCCCCAGATAGTGAGGCGGACTGCTCATTGTCCCTGTGTATGAAGGAGAAGCCCATAGCCAGAGCTCTGAGGTGACTTGTCTCAGCACGTTTTACTTCTCCTTTTGGGGTGACACTGGGTGCTGCTTCCCCAATCTTGGGTGTCAGTGACAGGCTTTTTTCACTGTCCCAGCTAACAAAGGCTGTGGTGTGTGGATGATGTCCTCCAGCCTGCCCCATGTCACCAGCAACCATGTGAGCTACAATGGCCTGTATGGAGTGGCAGTGTTCAGCCAGAAAGAGGGCTCTGGTGAGTTCCCTGGAGGCCATGGGGCCCAGGAGAACTTCAGTGAGGATGGGGATGCCATCCTCTGGGAGACGGAGCTGGAGAAGGAGGATGACCCACTGCGGCGGCCCGTCACCATAGCTCTCGTGGAGTCTAACAGTATTAATCACAATGGAGGTGAGTGGCCCCGCCCCTGTGGTACCTTCCCTGGCTCCCACTGTCCTGGGCTCTCCATGCACTGCTCCCAACCCGTCCCTCTAGCTTCATTAGCTGGCTTAATGAATAACCCAGCCCCTGGACTCTCCCCCAATCTCAAATCCATTTCTTCTTCCTCTGCCCCGCTGACTTCAAAATGTGTGGCTTTCGCCTGAAATCCACTTTCTTCCTATCCATCCCACACCAACGAGGCCTTTCTAACTGCAAACACACCCCTCATCCTTTCTTCCTGGGACTTGTGCCCTGATCCATGCCCAATGTGACCTGCATGTGTATCTGTATGCCACATTCATGCCTCGTGCTCATGGAGGTCAGAAGAGGGCATTGGATCCCTCTGGAACTGCAGTTACAGATGGTCGTGAGCTACCATGTGGGTGGGTGCTGGGACTCGAACCGGGTGATCTACAAGAACAAGTGAGATCAGTAACAGCAGCCCCAGGGGAGTGAGTTCTGCCTGCACGCCCCCAGTGAAGGAATTCGTTCATGAAGCTCTGCTGCCTGGTAGCACAGGCTAAGCCATGTAAGATGACTCATCCAAGCTAGGGACAACAGCCCCTGTGCCACCAAGAGGCTGGCTCAGACGGCTGAACCAGCCCGGGGCTTGTCCCCAGCCGCCCCCTCCTGGTGCTGTCTCGGTCCCTTTGCTTCTGAAGCCCTCCTACCACTATAGGACGAGGCTGTAGGAGACCTGGGGTGGAAGCGTGGGCCAGAGGACTGTCGGACCTAAGGAATCTTCTCACAGCCTGTGTCCCTGCTGGCCACCTTAGCAGGGACTCCGTGCCTCTTCCCCACCATCCCAGAGCGCACTTCAGGCGAGGCTGTTCCTCCTGACTGGCATTGTCGGGGTTGGATCACCTATGCTCTTCCCACTCCCACACTCTGTAGCATCAGGACTCTTTGTCCAGAGCAGCGAGGCCCTGCAGGTCATCACCAATGTGATCCATGCCAATGGGGACAGAGGCATCACCATTGTTCAGAGCAGCCAGCTCACAAGGGTGGCCAACAACAGCATCTCCTGCAACCGCCAGAGTGGGGTCAAGGTCGAAGCCCAGTGCAAGGTGGAGCTCCGGGGCAACGGCATCTATGACAATCGAGGCCATGGCATCATCACCAAGGGTGACAGTACTGCCGTTGTGGAAAATGACATCATTGGCAACCGGGGCAGTGGGCTGCAGCTGCTGCCCAGGTCTGACACTAAGGTAAGTGTAGGGTGTGTATGATGCAAGGTGCCAACGGGCCTCAGGCCTGGCTTGCACACTTTGCTGAGAAACAGAACCGTCAGCACTCAGAGCTGTAAGGAGAACTCAGTCTGGATGACATGGTCCACAGAGGGGGAGCCTCACAGAGGGGGAGCCTATAAACTGGGCCCCAAAGGAGGGACAGGAGTTCTTCAGCAGGAAGCCAAGAGAGGCATGGTGCTGGGAGCCTTCTGGGTGTCTTCTTGGTCTCTGTGTCAGAGACCGGCTATTTCAGCTCTTTGCTGACAGAACAAGCCTGCACTGGGCCATTGTGCAGTAGATGCTGTGTGCCAGGAGAGAGTCCGTAGGCCTTTGCACAGGCTGTGGTCTGCATGGGGAGGCCTCTTAGTCATCCATATCCCCGACTGTCACATTTTTAAGGAAGACCTGCTGAGTCGCCCAGGCTATTTGAAGTGCTCTTTTTTGGACCTTTGGGGCCCACAACCTCCTGAGCACCCCTCAGAACTTCCTGTTTCCTGACCTGTCCCGGCACATGACCATGAGCCTGAGTACCTTTAGGTAAAGCCCTGCAAGGCGCTAGGGCTTCATGGTAGAACCAGGCAGACACAGCCACTGCCCTGTGGACTGTCCGAGAGGTTCTCAGCTCTGTAGCCCCACAAATCCGCAATGCAGGCAAGGAGTAAAGGACTGGACTCTGAGTCCCTAGGAACAGGAGCAGGAGGGGCAGGCGCACTGTGAGCTCAGTCGGGCTGCAAGTAGGCACGGATTCTGGCCCAGCGCCCTTCCCTATTCCTTCTGGGAAGAACTTTCCCCAGCTCAGCCCCCTACAGCCTGTCCATCAGCTCTAGGACACCCGTGGCTCCAGCAGGCTGCCCTCTGCGCCCCACCCAGAGCTCCTCTTGCTCCGTGCTGACCTCTCCAGCACGCTTAGACTCCCTGGTTTTATGACAGTCACTCGCTTGCCCAGCGTCCAGCAGTCTGCGAGTCTGTGACAATCCATGGCTGCTTCTCCCAGGTCCTGAAGAACCGGATCCACTCCTTCCGGGCCTACGGCATTGCAGTGCGGGGCCGCGCGAAGGCCCTGGTTCAGGAGAACATCATCTTCCAGGGCAAGGCCAACAAGACCATCTTCCAGCAGATCACTAACAACTGCGAGTGCATCATGCAAAACAACAAGTTCCTGGTCTTCAAGAAGAAGTAAGTGGGCTGTGGGGACGGCCCCTGGGTAAAGTGCTTGCTGGGTGAGCCCGGAGACCTGCGGTTGGATGCCAGCACCCATGCAGATGCTGGTCATGTTGTCTGCTGAGCCTGTTCCTTCACTTAGCCGAGTGCAGGGTAGCTGGCCTGGGGCATTGCTTGAGTCGCTCACTCTTTCCCGTCCTCCTTTTAGGCTGGCATACAAAGCAGTAGGTTTTATTATGGCATTTTCATCCATGGGTCATTAATACGGCGCTCTCCCACTGCCTGTCCTGTTCTTCCTGCACCCCTCTTGCTGGCCCCCTTATTCTCCCCAAATAGTCCCCCATTCTTCCTTCCTTTCTTTGTTTTCTGTTCTGGATAATTTATTTAGTTACCTTAGCCCTGGAAGATGAAGAATACAAACAAAACTTTGGTTGTATGGTTCATGCCTTTAACCCCAGCCCTGGCGGGCTGATTCAGGAGACCACCAAGTATGAGGTCAGCCTGAGTCGGAATATCTCAGAAAAAGTGTGAAGATACGTTTTTGATCCATTTGATACTGTGACTAATGCTGTCCAGTTCTCAAGGCCTGAATTTCATTCAAAGATTGTCAGTGTTACTAATTATCTTCTGCTACCTCCTTATGAATGGTCTCTGGGAAACAGTAATTATTTTAACCTTGTAAATGTTTGGGAATATGTTGACCCTGAATGTTTTAATGAAATTCCAAGTTTAGTCTTAATCTGTAAGTTTTATTGGACCATAGCTATCTTCATTTGTTGATACACTGTCTCAGCCTGCTTTTCACACAGCTACTGCACAGTTGTCAACAGAAGACAATATAAACTGTCTTAGGGTTTCTTCTGCTGTGGAGAGACATCATGACCATGACAGCTGTTGCAAAGGAAAACATGTAATTGGGGCTGGTTTACAGTTCAGAGGTTCAGTCCACTGTCCGCATAGTGGGCAGCATGGCAGCACACAGGCAGACATGGTTTTGGAGAGGTAGCTGAGAGTTTTGAAGGCAGCAGATTTAAAGGCAGCAGGAGGAGACTATGAGACACACTGGGCCTAGCTTGAGCATCTGAAACCTCAAAGCCCATCCTCAGTGACATATTTTCTCCAACAAGGCCACACCTCCTAATAGTGCCACTCCCTGTGGGCCTGTGGGGCCATTTTCTTTCAAACCACCACATTCCACTCCCTGGCCCAATAGACTTGTCATCATATCATGATGCAGAAATGCATTAAGTCCAACTTCCAAAGTCCCTATAGTCTGTAACAGTCTCAACCCTGTTTCAAAGTCCAAAGTCTCTTCTGAGACTCAGTGGAATCTCTTAACTGTAATCTCCTGTAAAATCAAAATGAAAATACAGATCATATACTTCCAATATATAATGGCACAGGATTACCATTCCCGAAGGGAGAAAAAGAACATAGTGAGGAAACACTGGACCAAAGCAAGACCGAAAACCAGCTGGGCAAACTGCAAACTCTGCATCTCCATGTCTGATGTCCAAGTGCTCTTCAGATCTCCAGCTCCTTTCAGCTTTGTGGACTGTAACACACTTCCTTCTCTTGGGCTGGTTCCACTCCCTGTTAGCATCCTTCCTTGGTAGGTATCCCACGACTCTGGCATCTCCAACATTTTGGAGTCTCTAGGATTCACCTTCACAGCTTCACTCCATGGCCCCTTGAGGCCTCCATGCAGGGACAGCTTTGACATTCGCCTGGCCTCAGTGGCTTCCTTAGTCTCGGAGGGAGATTCTCTAACCTGTTTCTTCTGTCCTTGACTCAGAACCACACGACCAAAGCTGCCAAGTTCTGCTGCTTGCTGGAACTGGAACGTGACCCCCACCTCTCCCCACCCCCACCCCTTGTTCAACTACATCTTCACCAGCTTTCTGTTTTTGATGGTTTCCCTGGTTGCCTAAAGTTGGCTGTCCTGGAACTTGTTCTGTAGACCAGGCTGGCCTTGAACTGTGAAACTTGACTGCCCCAGCCTCCTGAATGCTGGGATTAAAGGTCTTTCGTTTCTTCTCACAAGTTGGAAGCTTAGCTGGAAGGGATTTTACCCTGACCACTCCCTCTACTCCATCTAACGTCAGGCTTTCTTTAATCTGTTTATCCCCTTGAACACGGGGCTTAGCTCCATCCCACTTCCTGCTGCCCCTTTCGCCTCCAGCTGTACATTTCATATTTTCCCTTGCTCAGCTTGCTCCTTTTTATTACAGATCTGCATAAGAGTGAACACTAATAACCACACGACACAGACTATTTTGAGATTACCTCTGCCAAAGCAATCAGTCCAAAACCCTTCAATTTAGCCTCAGACAGATTTTCAGACAAAGGCAAATAGCAGCCACATTCTTAGCCAAAATATCACAAAATAGTCTCTAGTCACATTAAAATATTCTTCTCCTCTGAACCCTCTTGAGCCAGGCCCCACGGTTCAATCACCCTCAGTATCACTGTCTTCTATGCTCCTACTGATATGGCCCATTACGCTCACTTAAAGTGTTCAACTGCCTTTCTAATCCAAAGTCCCAAAGTCCAGATTCCTCCAAACAAAAACACAGTCAGGCCTATCTCAGCAATACCCCAATCCCTGGTACCAGCTTTGACTTAGGGTGTCTATTGCTGTGGAGAGACACCATGACCGTGGCAACCCTGACAAAGGAAAACATTTAATTGGGGCTGGCTTACAGTTCAGAGGTTTAGTCCATTGTCATCATGGTGAGAAGTGTGGTAGCATGTAGGCAGACATGGTGCTGGAGAGGAAGCTGAGAGTTCTGTATCTAGACTGAAGGCAACCAGAAAAGACACACTGGGCCTAGTTTGAGCATATGAAAAACCTCAAAGCCTGCCCCAAGAGACACACTCCCTCCAGCAAGGCCACACCTCCTAACAGTGCCACTCCCTGTGGGCGCCATTTTCTTTCAAACCACCACATAAAGCTAAGATATTTACTGTCAGGGCCATTGTAGGAACTTCATAGACCTTTGACTTTAAACAGCAAAGCCCTAAACTTTCTGGAATGTTCTGAGCTATTCCAAGATGACTACTCTCTGAAAAACTGCTCTCACTTTTTAATTAACAAGTACCCAGCCATATGTAGTGCACAGCTATCATCTAGCACCTCTAAAAATGATAGCTGGAGGTGTAGCTCAGTGGCCCTTGGTGTTAAGTCCATTGCTGCCCTGTCCCCCAAAGCATAGCTGAACTTAAGCATTCTCTAGAATTCTGTCCCAGCACGCAGTAATTCTCCCAAACTGTAGCTTTCCCTTCCCATCTGAGCTGAAGTATTTCACTCAGCAAGACACCTCAAGTCCTGCTGGAGCCGCGTTTACCCTGCACACTGGTGTGGGCTACTGCTTTCCTACGGGGATGGGGGGAGAGTGGGGTGAAGACCACCGTTCTTTGAAGTCATCCTGGGCTGGCGTGTCCAGAGATTGGCAGCTAGCTCTTCTGCACATGCTCGGAACTCCGTGGGACAGTCAGGTGCAGGCCTCGAGGGAAGGCCCCTCCTTCATCTCACCTGCATTCTCTTTTTCCTCCCTTCCCCACCCTCCCCTCGCATGGTCCTCTTCTTGCTGACGTCACAGAGTGCCTGACAGAAGCAGCTTCGGAAGGCAGGGTTTATTTTCCCTCACAGTTTGAGGGTGGGGAAGCCATGCTGGGGAGTCAGCTCGAGCTGTGTGGGCAGGAGCGTGGGACAGCTGGTCACATCCTCTGCTGTCAGGAAGCAGACGGATGGACGCCAGTGTTCTGCCTGATCTCTCCCCTTTTCTGTCCCCCTCGGCCCTCAGGGAAGCTGTGTCTTCCAAACTCCTCAGACTTCTCTGGGAACACCGCCCTCCCCGGTACCCTCACAGACAGGTCTGTTTCCTAGGTGTGAGGGCTGTTCTTGGCTGTCAGCTTGACCACATCTTGAATTAGCTAGCACCCAGTGGCTGGGTGCACCTGTGAGGAATCGGTCTTTAATGCAGTCTTCTGAGGTGGGAAGGTGCCCTTTATCTGGGCCCAGCTTCTGGTGACAGTCTACACAAGGACACAAAGGAGGACGCTCCCCTCGTGGCCTGCTTGCTGGCACTGGCAGGGCCCTTCGTTCACTGGCATTAGAGCCGACTTCTTTGGGATCTGGCATGTACTGAAGACCCGCTGAGATATCCAGTCTCACGGACTGACCAGCTACTGGATTCTTGGACCTTCTGTTAGTAAACGGCTGTTGTTGGACTAGCTGGGCCACAGCCTGTAAGCCAGTCTAATAAATCCCCTATATATATATAGAGGGGGGTTATTATATATTATATATATAAGGAGAGAGGTCACGGAGGAAATGAATATATATGTGTGTGTGTGTGTGTGTGTGTGTGTGTGTGTGTGTGTGTATGTGTGTCCACTGTATATACATATATATGTATATATCCACTCTATTAAGTCTGTCCCTCTACAATAAGTTAATCTAGTCACATTGACAATGAAGATTAGTTATCATAGTCTCTTTTCTACTTTCACTAGCACACCATCCCCCCTACACACAGAGGCACTTACAAACCTAAATCTAGACTCTGCAGGAATGTGGTATTTGACTGAGTCTGCTCCTCACACGTGATGTCGTTCTCGCCGGTCCCATCCGCTTTCTGCCAGTGTCGTTTCACTGGTCTGTTGATGGGTGTCGCAGCTGGTTTTCTCCTCTGGCTGCTGTGCACAGTGCAGCAGTGAGCGCAGGCGTGAGGGTCCCTGTGGTGGTTCTAGCTTTAGTTGTTTTTATTTTGTGTGTATATGTGAGTCTCACATGTACTGCATGTGTGTGCCTGGTGTCTGCAGAGGCCAGAAGAAAGTTGGATCCCCTGGAAGTCATTCTGTGTTTGTTTGTTTGATGGAGACAGGGTTTCTCTGTGTGGCCCTGGCTGGCCTTGAACTTGGTAAACTAGGAGGGCTGGAGTACTGGGATGAAAAGCGTGTGCCACCATGCCCCCTTCATTCATTCCTTTCCGTTGTCGAATGGTTTCCATGCACTGATGCGGCAGCCTGTTTGCCTCCTCATCACTGATTGGCTGAAGGGCTTTTAGGTGGTTTCTAGTCTTGGGTGATGATAAATAAGGCTTTTATATCATTCATGCTCACAGAGCTAGTGTGTTTGTGCATGTGGGCGGGGAATAGAGATAAAACCCACTGATTCATATCCATATCCAGAAATATGGGGAAATTGAGGACCACAGAGGAAAGGTGACCAAGGCTCCATGCAGAAATGCAGCAGAGATCTGTCCCTCAGTTTCTTGCCCCACCTCATTGGGCAGTCACTGACTTAGGAGATAAAACCCACACCTAGATTTAAACTCCGAGATCCAGAGAACTGTTCACCCAGTACTCTCAGCCTCCGACTCACTGGCTTTCCTTTCGCACCTACAGGTCTGACACCTGGCGCCTGGTGAATCCACCAGCACGGCCTCACCTTGAAAACTCAGGCAGGGGCTCCTCCGCGGCCCACAGTGGGCACAAGGTGACCGCCATGGCGACCAGGATCTCAGCCCGTGTGGAAGGTGGTTACCACAGCAACCGCAGCATCTTCTGTACCATCCTATAAGCAAGAAGACCTGCCTCAGACCCAGGCCCCAGTGGGTGCTCAGAAGAGCTAGAGGCCAAGACTTGGGATGGAAGTTATGCCTGGGAAGGACTCCCGGCCCCACCCCCATCCTGCACACCACCGCTCCTGAAAAGAGGGTCCTAGGCCTCCTGGGGACCAAGAACAAGGAACCTCTGGACCCCTTCAGCTCCACAGCCTTCAGCAGGGAGGAAATATTCCCCCAGGAGAAAGGAATAGCAACTGGGAGTGTTTCCGGTTGCCCCAGCACTCAGAGGTTATGAAGAGCTAGGGAAGTTCAAATAGCACACGCGGTTTTAGGTCAGTTATTCCACGCTGCAGAGAGCCTCACTTTATACAGACCAAGCCTAGACTCTTCTCAGGGAAGAAGGGAAGTAGCTGTGGTAAGGTGGATAGCTGCCCCCTCTCCTGGACCTGCCCTCTTGGTCCCTCCGGGGACTGTACGAGCCTCCCAGCTGCCTCTGGGGCTGTCGTGTTTTCACTAAGGACAGTTCTCAGACTGGCACATGGCCCTGTGAGCGAGGAAGGAGCTTGGAGCCGGGAGTTCCTCCTGAAAAGCTGCCCCAGGGATGACCAGGGGCCATGCCATGAAGAAGCGGGACAGGTGGGGCCGGGCCGCATGGGGATGAACGCAGCCCCGCTGTCCCCAAGGAGCCCCCCAAGTTCAGAGCATTAGCTCAGCGCCTGCCACAGGAGTCAGTGTGTGTGGACACACCTTCCAGCTGCCCCTGCGAGCTCCAGGCTGTCTAGCTGGAGGAGCTCTCTGCCATGTCCATGTCCTCATGGATGATCGGCTGCCTTGACCAGCCCGACCCTAGTCCCCCACTTGTGCCTTGGCTTGAGCTTGTTCGTCCTCCTGGCATGCCCTCCAGCCATCTCCATCTGTGCAGGCCCCATGTTTTTGTCAAGGTCTAGCTCAGACACTGCCATCCCCACGTGACTCCCCTGCTGCAGGTGATACTGCCCGCCCCCCCAAGCCTCACTGACCCCCTCGCTCCCTCTCAGGGCACTGAGCACTTTCTGCCTTGCTTTGGAACTCTCTGGGTCCATACCCTGTCCTGCCTATTTACCTGTGACTCTGAAGGGAGAGCCACCTCTGTCTGTGTCCTTAAGTCCCAGCCCAGAGCCAGAGTTGAGTTAGTGGCCTATGTGATGAAGGCCAGCTCCCAAAGGGCCTCACTAGACTGTACTGTGACTGTGACAAGCTTCGAGAGCCGGGTGGGCTTGGACCCCACTGTGGAAGGGGCCGCATACAGGGCCAGCTCCGCCTTGATGGTCCCTCTCCCACTTGGCCTTTACTGCAGGGCCCTCCCAGTCTTTGGGGTCACCGTCCTCCTGGGCCAGATCCCGCGCCGGCTCTGTGGAGCCCTAGGTGCTGCTATTGGGTGGGTGGGAGGGGAGCTGACTTCTCCCGAAGCACTCTGGGAACAAGGACACTGGTCTGTCCCGTCCGCAGTACTGTCCTTTGCACTTCTGTTTGGTGGCCCCGGTGTGAGTCGCTGTATAAAATGCTGCCTTTGTTATTTTGTAAGAAATGACTTTTCTGTGAACCAAGTACTTAAAAAATCTCAGTAACCAAAATAAAGTTCTATATATTTTAAAGGAGGCGCTTCCGGGGTCTTAACTTGTCCACACATTTGCTGGAGTTTCAGGCGACCAGCAGGCCCCCCACGGGTGCACTGAGACACCAGGACTCGGGGCTCATCCAATCAGCTTGCTCCCACCGTGCTGAATTCAAAAGGTGAACTCCAGTCCTGCCTGGGGCCTTTCTGAAGACAAATGCTGACACTCCCTCCATGCAGGTCACCTGCTGAGCAAAGGGTCCTCAGCTACACAAGAACATGCCTTCCTGGACCCAGGTCACTCCCTCAGCATCTGTGTTTTTCTGTACCCACCTCAGCTCAGGCTTGGGTGATGAGCTCGGGCTTAGGACTGTTTTATGTTAGTGTTTTGACGTGTGTGTGTGTGTGTGTGTGTGTGTGTGTGTGTGTGTGTGTGTGAGAATGGCACACATGTAGAGGTCAGAGGGCAACTTTGGGGGAAGTTGGTTCTCTGCTTCTCCGGTGTGGGTTCCAGGGAGTGAATTTGGGTCGTCAGGCGTGGTGTACCTTTACTGAATACTAAGCCATCTCCTGGCCCCAGTATTAAATACTTTTGTCAGTTTTCATAGTCTTACTTCCTTTCCTTAGAAAATGGTTTGGTTTAACTCTCAGCAGCCCACCCCTGAGCTAAGGCAAACCCATGTTTTGAACTCTTCTCTGGACAAGGGATGTTCAGGGTGCCCTCTTACCGACTTCCCTCATGGGCTTCTTACCGACTGCTGTTTTTCAAACTGTCATGTTTAGCTGCAGCAACCTCTCAAATGCTGGGATTACAGGCATGTGCCACCACTCCCAGCTTAGATGAGACCCGTGAGCTGCTTTATGTATCTCTTTCATCCGGTGTCCGAGAGGATCATCTCCTTTGTGTAGTGTGTGGCCTGTGTGCGGAAAGGCCAGATTATCCGGTATCCTGTGACTCTGCCTTCTTCCTCTGAGGCAAGGTCTCTCCTGGAACCCAGTGTGCATGCTTTTCAGTGAGGCTGGCAGCTAGGAAGCCCCAGTGGTTTCCCTATCTGCTTCCTGTTGTTGGGCATGTGGGTGTTGGGCTGGAACTTCGGTGTTTATGGGACCTTTAACTACTGAGCTCTCCAGCCCGCAAAGAACTGTTTTTGTTGTTTTGAAGTCCTGTTGGTGCAGATGTACGCGCCACAGCTCATGAATGGAGGCCATGTGGACCCATGACAGGCTTCCAGTCAGCCTACTTAAACTCACTGCAGAGTCATGGCCACAGGATTACCTGGTGCTGGGAAGACTCAAGCTTCGTGTAGCTCCTCCCCAGATCCCAGGGGCCAGTGGGTCTGCCAAGGCCTGAACCCAAAACCAAGTGAGACCCCATGGGGATCACACTTTCCATGTGTATTCATCTCCAAGTCCCCACTCACTTGGCCAACCGGGCCCCTCCGCATGGTCTCCCTGAGGAAGAAAGGCTGTGCCTGTCACTTCCTGATCTGGCTCTGCTGTATTGTAGTAGCTGTTCTTTTAGATCCACCGCCCACCCTAGCAGAGCTGGGAGCCGCCTCTGATCCCTGCTCTGCTCGGTCCTCCTCCACCTACTGCGGGGTCCTTCTGGGTCTTTAATAAATCTTCATCCTTTTTTGTTTTGTTTTTTTTCAAGACAAGGTTTCTCTGTGTAGCTTTGGAGCCTGTCCTGGAACTCACTCTGTAGCCCAGGCTGGCCTCGAACTTCCTTTTTTTCAGGTTTGTTTTCTTTTTCTTTCTTTTTTAAGATTTATTTATTATGTATACAGTGTTCTGCCTACATGTATACCTGCAGGTCAGAAGAGGTCACCAGATCTCATTACCGATGGCTGTGAGCCACCATGTGGTTGCTGGGAATTGAACTCAGGACCTCTGGAAGACCAACCAGTGTTCTTAACCTCTGAGTCATCTCTCCAGCCAGCCCCATTTTCATCCTTTCTTTAGGCTCTAAGTTGAGCCTGATGTGATCCTTTGACCCAGACGTCCCCAGAGCACATGACCCAGCAGGAGAGACAGCTGCCATTTGTAACCACAGCAACACTAAAGGAGTAGGATGGAGTCACCCTGGGCCATCGCTTTAATTTCTGCATGGGAGGTATAACTGGGATGCTGGCTTCAGGCATGATAACCATGTGTAAGGCCTCCGGGGTGGTGGACCACAGCAGTCCCAGACAGGCCCAGGCTCTGCCATTCTCCTGCCTCAGTCTCCTGAGGACCTGGGCTATAGATAAGTCCCACAACATCCAGTCTGCTTCCATTTTCAGAAAATAAAAATGGGAGAGGCCAGAACAGCCCATCTGGAAACATCTAGCTCATCTTCTTCCGCTTTGAACGGTCTGAGGTCTGGACCGGAGGCAGGGGGACAGACAGAGTGCCCAGTCTGTGATCCTCTTCCCTGCCATCTGCCAGGGTCACCTTTCTTTTGGAGATCTTCAGCCTCATGGCTTTTGCTATCTCCATCATCCTAGGGAAGAAACAGAACACATGGAGATGGGTCCTGTGTGTGCCGTTCAGGTCTGACGGGGCAAAGAGCACACTGCTCTGGACCCCGAGGCTGGGTTGTTCTCTGCCTCCACCCTCGCTTCACCCCTGCTCCACGGAGGAGCCCTCCCTAGTCACAGCATTCAAAGCACACAGGGCTACTCAGAGCAGAGAGCTGTGGGAGGCTCAGGCTAAGGCCCAGGCACACTTTTGGGAGTGAGATCTTGAGAAAGTCTTTACTTCTCCAGATCTTAGATTCTTGTTATTTTTTGGGAAATCAACGAGGGACCGTGAATGAATTCAGTACCACCCCTTGCAAAGAAAAGGGACTCAAAGTTTCTCACCAATCAATCATTCATTCATTGAAAACTGTCTTCTGGTCCCAAGATATTTCCATGAGACTCCTGTCCCTTAACCACCCTTCAGCAGGGCCTCGTGCTCTGGGCAGGAGGGGAACCCAGCAGGCGGCTGCAGGGCCCACCCAGCATTGCTCTACTTTGCTCACCTCTTCTCACTGAGTTTCAGGTCCCCCTGCAACACCGTCAGGTCTATCTGGAAGTCATTTATGTGCAAGGCAAGCACGATTGCATACGCAGTGATCTTGGCCTTCATAGAACTTGAAATTAAGTTCCGTAAACTGCAGAGTCAGAGGCAACGGAGGAGAAATGAAGTTAAATTCCAAGTGCTGTGTAAGAACCCCAGAGCCTTATCCTAACTCTGTCGTCAATGTTCCCAGTTTGGGGAACAGGGTGTGTGTGTGTGTGTGTGTGTGTGTGTGTGTCAAGCCACACAACCTGTCTTCCAAGGTGCCCAATCTCCCAGTGGACAGTGAGTCAGCCCGTGTTTCTCCTGACAGACAGACAAAGCCCTGCCCACATTTCCCCAGGTGGTGTGGTAGCACTGCCCTCATGAAAGCCCTCTGTGCGAGTCTGTTCCTGTCTGCTCAGCAGGCCGGCAGGACACTCAGGGGCAGGAAGCACAGCCCCATCCAAGAGCTGCAAGCAGGCCAGGAGACTGCTGGAATTTGTCTCCTAAGTCACCCGCCCTCGTCCCAGCACTGTGGTCATCAGTAAGCACTTCCTGCAGGGTGCCCACAGCCAGAGGCCAATGAACACTTCCAAGGGGACAGTGGAGGATGGAGATGTGTCCCCAGGAGCCTGCCAAATGGCAGTGAGCTCTTTGGCACTGGATGTCTGGACACGGAGCTGCCCCTGAGCCCCCCCCCTTCCCTGCCACCCCCATCCGCTTTCTCCTTCCTTGAAGGAGCTCCCTGACCTGCCGTTGTTGTAAGTCAGGCAGGTGAAGTGCTTCAGCAGCTTGGCGTTGATGATGTGGGGGATTCCAGGTCCCAGGGCACCTAGAACACAAAGTTGCATGGATCATTTTCCTGGAAAGTCACACATCCATAAGGGGGCGTGTGGGGGGGGGGCTGTAATAGCCAGAACCCCATGATTAGAGGAACAGGGGCCCAAGATCCAAAGCAGCCACTTTAAGATCAGACGCACACAGAGGTGTTTGCGAAGGGTGTGTGAAGAGGTAGAACGAACAGGCTGATGAAGACTGAGAACACACAATAAGATGTTGGAAAATACAGTAGATTGCAGATGGAGCCAGTGAGAAGGTTCAGTGGGTAAAGACGTTCCACCATGTTCCATCCCCAGGATTCACGTGGCTATAGGGACAACTGATTCTAAAGTCGTCCTCTGACCATAGATACACTAGGCACGCACCCCGCTCAACCTCCCACTGGAAAGACTGGAATACAAAACATGAGCGTCAAGCAGGTGGGCACACCTCCATCCTGGGTGCCTTTCACAGTAACAGTGAACAGACACACCTTATGCCGAAAACCCCAGGTGGCTCCTGCTGGCTTTCCACCTTGGGGTGGGTAGGAGAGAGGACCACCACATATGGTCCTAGAAAACAGGTGGAACTGAATTCTAAACATTCAAACTAACTCTCTCAGTGTGAAATAAACTGCCACAACACACCCCCCTCCAAAAAAAAGAAAATGCCAAGCACAGTGGGGCACACCTTGAATTCCAGCACCGGAGAGGCAGAGGCAGGTGGATCTCTGAGTTCCGGGCCAGTCTGAACCGTACAGTGAGTTTCAGCCAACCAGGGCTGTCCTCACACAACACCTGCCTCAAGCTTCTTCCCAGCAAAGCCTGATTTCTCCTCCTTCTCTAAGTGGTGTGTGTTCTAGCAGCCTCCCTTAAATTATTCATCTCATTTGACCTGGATACTGTGTTTTACCTAACAAAACAGACGCAGGGAATGTGCTCTCTGGAAGTCCCATCACCCTGTCCCCATTTCCAGAACAGAAGAAGGAAATACAGAGAGGAGAGCCCCTCGAGGCTCTGGAGGAAGGGCAGGCTGCTGGGAGGGCCGGACAGACATCCATGGGGTGATGAGAGAACTACGGACAAGGAACCTGTGGACAGAACGAGGATGAAATGTCGGGGGGGGGGGGGGGGGGGGGGGGGGGAACGACGACTTACTTTTCCCCTTTATCACTTTCTGAGCTCGAAATCTGACGAG